ATTCCTTTACAATCATACTAGGATTCCAATTTAAAAAGACAAGTAGGAGTGTTCTGCTTCAGTGAATGGGATGCCTGTATTCAGGGTAGCTATGGCAAAGTATATTCAAGTAATGGAGCAATTTAACTGGTTACATCATCATGAAAGAGCTGTCATAGTTGAGATGAGAAACGTTGTACTTCATAAAGTCTGGAACGGTGCTGGCAACACTTAATTATTTAAAGTCGCCCTTCCATATTAACCTAAATATGAATAGATTATTGTGCTTTCTGTAGAAAAAGCACCTCTGTCCTCTAAAGTGATTTGCAGAAGAAATTCTGAGTCACAATAACCTCCTTGCCCAGAGTCCCACAAGGCATCAGCACCAGAGATGCGAATGAAGTCCAGAATCCCAACCTTTTCCTGCACTGACTGGGGATCACGCTTCTCCCAGGGAGTCCTAACACATTATTCTACTGCTATAAAAATCACACTTAACTAACAGGTAAGGAATAAAAATAAATCATAGAATGTAGGAATGAAAAAAATGAACAAAAGTGATTTTATAATCCTCAAAACAAGAAGAAACTTGGTAGTTTGATGTCAGCCGATGGAAGGAGTTCTCTGTTACTACTACAGAATTAACAAGGGCTTAAACACATAATCAAGATTAACAAGTTACTGTGTATCAGCACAAGCATGGTAAACCATTTCATGAGCCCACTTAGCCCATGACAAATGCAAGATGACTTGGCTTAGCCCCTTTCCCTTTCCTCTGGGACTAAACTGTTACACTTTTAGCCAGAAAGAGACAAGCTGGTTATTGAGACTCTGTAGCACAGTAATTTGCTAAATTGTGGTAGCTTGACTTTATGTCAAACTCCCTAACTCTGCTAAGAACGTGAGGCTAATGGGATAAGGGGAAGTGAAAAAGCATTTCCTTGCCAAATGTTTTTTTAACAGGCTTGACAACGATAGTGACAACCGTGTAAAAAGCTTTTCCACTGTTTGACCAGACCATCATAATTTCCAGCCTTCTATAGCCTGGTAATTCTCCACCTCTTCTTGTCTCCATTTATGATTACCACTCCTAATTGCACCTGCCTTTTTTGGTTTACTTGGTATTAGCTGTATAAAAACATTGGCAGCAAATTCTTAGCAGATATAAGATCATTAATATAACTATGCTCTAGTTAGACATTTAGGGGATGGAATCTAAAATGACAGAAGTCTTCCTAGCCACAGAACTCCTGAAGTATCTGGCTTGTAAGCAACCAACCTTTGTGCTTTAGGAGATTTGCCCTCTGGAAATCAGACAGCAATGGCTTTCTATAACACTTCAGCTGAGAATTTTGATCGGTGAGGTAGTTTGTAACCAGGGCTCCCAATTACAATACTTTTTATAGTTGTAATGCAAATGGGACATACCGTACCCTTCATTATGGTCACTCTGAACTTCAGGGGAGACACAAACATATAACTAAACTCTACCTATCTTGATGCTTTTATAGCCAAATTTAGATTTTTAACCAACTTTGCTATCACTAAGACATTAAGGATGTGCCCGGAAACTTTGCTGAATTGGGGTTTTTGTCTTATTATCAAATTAAGGAAAAACATGCTGTAACCCACTTACCTGACTCAATCACAGCTGTAGTGTACGATACTAATCTCCACATTTATTAAACACATGCTCCCTCTGGAGCTGGAGATGATACAGTAACAGCTGTTTTATTCTGGTTTCTTTTTAAGTCATGAGGAAACAAACACACACATGTCTCTGGTATAATTCACAGTGTTCACACCTACTATTGCAATTAAGAGGTACTAAAATAAACAACTGTTAAGTTCTCCTATCTTCTACAGTTCCTTCTCCCTCCCATTCTCTCTCCCTATTGTTGCCATCATTATTGTGAGTAAATTAGTACTGAATTTTGACTCAGCAAAAGGAAATTTTAATGCAAAAATAAATGGGGTAAGTTATACTGGGCATAGATTAAACATACAAAATCAGTAGGCCTATAATGAAGACAGTGAAACAAAGCAAATACTAGGAAACTTGGGTTTGCCCTGACTTTAATGTCAGCCTGACCTCTCATTGGTATAAAATTAATATTTCTCTGTGTATCATTAATCCTTTTTGTCCACAGGGAATAATAAGAACACTTCTAGATGGCAAGCAAGGATGTCATTTGGGACACAAGGACAATATTAAAAGCCCTTACCATGAACTGCAGTGTGGCTTTTAACCACAGCTTGTGGGTAAGAGCATGGTGGTACAGTACACCCCTAAACCACTGGGACAGGCACAGTGATGTCTGGAAGCTGAGGAAATTCACACAGCAGCTGACAATTTTAAGGAGAGTCCCTCATACCAGAAGACAACTTTCCCCTGTCTGGTTAGTGCAAAAAGGGACATATTCCTCTCTCTGCTCAACCCCTAAAAGAATATCCAATGCCCTTTTTCAACACTAAAGCCACCACATCACTAGAATGCACTGATGAGCTCAAAGCAGGTGATCAGCACCAGCCTTGCAGATGGCCAAGGCAGGTGAGCTGGGCCTGCAGACAGGGCAGTGCTTTGGTGTGGTACGGCTTCCTCCCTTCCGAACTCATCCCAGCTCCAAGTAGATTTTAAGCACCTTGCATTGCTTCTCCCCTTTTCCCAGGGCATTTGAAAACAGGAGGGAAAAGGTGCATGAAAAACCTTGTGGTTGATTGTTTTAGACTAGCTGAGTCCTTGAAGAGACTTTAGGTAATGTCAAGGACACCAAGATTGTGTGACTGCACATGCATTTTTCAGAGACAGAAAAGTAATCCCACTGCAATTAATGGATCTTATTATGCTCAAAGTCAACAAGCTTGCTAAAAGGCTTTGGCAAGTCAGCGCCTTTGTGTTTGGATTGCAATGCTGGCTGTGTGGTGTGCCTTTGTCCACTTCAGCCTTATTTACCAACAGAGGTATAGACACAATCTAGCCCTGGGCACAATTCTGGCTAAATATGTTGATGCATATTTTTGCGTTCCAACAGTTTCTGGAGTGGTGCTTACAAGACAGATGAAAGCTAGTAAACATAGACGTGAAAAAAGCCATTTACTTTCTCACCCTGAATGTTTACTATTTGCATTTCAGTCACCTCTGACAACTGAAAGAGATCATTTTGTCTCATTTCCTTCCTCCAGCATACCCACCCGATGCAGTTCTGTGGGCAATCATGACACTGCAGTGTAATGTTTGCTGTTATTGTAAAATGGCTCATTATTTTTGAAAAGCTACAAACTGTTTGTTCAGAAAACACTTTGCAATCACCATTGGTCTATTTGGTAGGTTGCTTGTTTTTTTCAGATCTGAAATAATTTGAAGATGATGCTTCAAATTAAACACCCATGTCTATAACACTTTCTTTGTAAACCAGTTAACACAATATATTATTCCCATGCATATTCATTATGTGCATACAGCAGTCACCCTTCAAATCCACTCCCCAAGTCCTTCCGGCAAACTAGGAACACTCTCTGCCATAAAAATTTACCCTTTTCCCTCAATAAATCTCTTCCTTAGAAGAAATTTTTGCCTTTAGAATCTCATTTTTCATTTATTTCATTAGTTTCCATCTCAGATAACTAAATTCTCCTTTATTACAGTTGGGAATTTTTATAATGTGCAAATTGAAATAATGATTGTATCGCAGTTCTCTGCAAGTGGTTTTCATTAAGCCTCCAGCTACTATTCCTTGCTCTGTTGGATATCTTTGTGTCAGGGTTACTTTACACTGGACAGAAATTTGAACAATTTACGTTGAAAAGAATGACTAAAAACCTATTAGATAACAACCTTTAAAATGCACTGGTTGATGGACCTTAATTGTATGTTCTTGTCATAATCAAAATACCTCAATCACTTAAAACTTAATAATCATGCTAAAAAGTGGACCTGTGAATATATTCCAGATTCACATTTCTGAAAATCAAAATAACTACTTGTCTTTACAATTCTGTGTAAGCATACACACAGTGCCTAAAATACATTTACATGTCTGAGATGCTACACTACAACGTTTTGCTTTCTTGTCAACAGACTAACTAAACTCTTACTCTAAGTTCAGTAGGATTTTCTGGTTTATTTTAGTGACTTAAAAAAGTTCAGAACCATTTGTGTGGCTCGTTGAAATTTACAGCGTGCTTACATTGTTGATCACCAGACTCATCTTGCTACTTAGTCATTCTCTATTGCCCATTGGTAAATGAGTTTGCTAGCATATATTCCCATTGCTGCCAGGGTCACCAGAAGTCTGAATGAACACACAAAGAGTCCACTTAATTGCAAAGATTTATAGCTATGCTGTTTTCTTTTCTCCCTTTCCACTCAAACTTGTCTTCCATGTCTGACATGTATAGAAAAGGGAGAGCTGCTTATTCTAGTCAAAATCAGCAGCAGACAAGGATCACAGTTTCGCAAGGATTCCTTATTTCTACTGCTAGTGCATAGGCAACAGAGAAGCAGTTTTCTAATCCACCCCGGCCAGGGTACTAAACCAAAGAAAAATGCTGTGTCAATATAGTGTCAGCCATCATCAGTCTGCAACGAAGCAACGAGTTACACGCCTGGCAAAAAAACACAACCTGTACGACTTCCAGAAGCAACAAGCTGTTGGTTCTGATTTAAGATACCATGCTCTCTAAGTAGAAAACAGGTGAACTATTATACAATAAATAGACGAGAAATTTGTAAGTCTTGGAAACTCAGAAGCAGAAAGCTGCCATTTGAAAATCTGCCTCTGCCTGCCCAAAGAGCCTGCTGTTTGAACCATGTAGAATTTCTACGTCAAACTAAAGCCTTTTCCTCTGTCTTATTTATGGCTCTGCTACAAGTTTGGGTAGCAGAGGAATCACTCAATTCTGACCAACCAGTGAAATGATTTGGAGAGCTCTGGGGATAAAAAAAATTCACCCAAACAGTTCTGCATTTCTGATTGAACACAGTAATTCTAAAGAGCACAGTTTACACACTGAAAACTTACCAATGGAGCGATGAATGCAGGTATGCTGGTTATCACTCAGAAAAAAGCCCTCTTTGCACTGACATTCATAGCTTCCCATAGTATTTACACAAATCTGCTGGCACCCTCCATTGTTATCCTGACACTCATCAACATCTAGAAGAGAGAAGGAGAAAGAAACGCAGGTAATGTACAGATTCAAAACACACATCTAGAAGAACAAGGAATCCACAAAAAGGCACACTGTAAATTAAGCTAATGAAAATACCCAAACACCATCAGAGTTAATCCATATAATTCTTTTTCCTGCATCCCAGGTTTAAAGTTAACATAAAAAAATCAGTGGGGAGGGGAGTCTAGCTAAGTCTCCATGCATTCTGGGCTGCAAATTGATTTCCAATGCACAATGAATGTTAACGTCCTAAAAAGGCTGTGACCCCATCTGCCAAGTGTGGTGTTGCACTCTGTCATTCCCACTCCACTTGGAAAGACATACTTCAGGCCTACAGTAATTTCTACCAGGGGTAGCAGGCAAACACAAAGGGCATTACTGGGTGAAAAGAGTCTTTATAGAGTTCTGGTCCTGAACAGAACAGCATGTTTCAATTACTGGAGTCATAACCCCCTACTTTGTCAGTTTGTTTAATGTTGTTTAATGAAAAGAAGGCTTCTTAAATCTAAATGTTCCATGTCTGTATTGTCATTTTAATAGGCAAATATATAAAACCACAAAGGCAGCATTAGCTACTGGCTGTTTTGAGGGTCCCTGCCTACCCCCATATTCTCTCTTTGGCGTAAAAGTTTTTATGCTGTTGTGTTTAACAGAGACATATGCTTCAGCATTGGGAAATTGCTGTCGCTAAAAGATATCTGACCCACGTTCAACCTTGCGAGTCTCCTGTTTTGCTCATAAAAAGTGTATCATATCCATTTTCTGCTTTTTCTTCGGATAAAAGCAATTTGCCACCTGAAAGATACATGTTTTCCATTTTTATGGAGATTCTGCAACTAGTTAGTTATTTCACAGTATTTGCCAACATGTCAGCAAATGAGTTGGTGCGTGTTTTGCTTTCATTTCGTTTTTGGAGGGGGGGAAAACACAACAAAGCTAAATGATCCACAACATTCAAAACCTCAGAAGAGCTGGCAGACCAATTTGAATTTTTAATTAATTAATTCCTCTAGGACTGGCCACGATACACTAAGGTAAAACCAAGCTGCTTTTGCCAGTACTCTTGCAGGCAAAGCCAGGAAGCTCTGAAAGGCTAGAGAAACTCAGCTGATAACTAATGCAGGAAGGCCAGCTAGTTCCAGCAGCTGGCTCGGCTACGCCTGCTATTGCTGTTTGTACTAGTGTGCTGCCTGCGCTTCAGGTGGCAGAAATTGCAGCTCTCTTGAAAAAAACCATAAGTTCTAGGGTAATTACAGCAGTACCCAGGGAAATCGGGTGGTCTCCTCATGTCTTGAACTACAATGCAAGCGTGGAGACGGTTCTTCTCCTTTTTTTATTTACCAAGAAATGTTAACCACTATTGCCTCAAATTTTCTGTATCAAAATCCTTCCCATTCTCCGTTCTTACTCTCTTGCAGATGTCAACCTTTTCAGAACCTTATCAAAGCAGTTTGGGAGGACATAGGAAAAGCAGTGAAGACTTTCCTTGGTACTGCAGTATAAGACGAAAAGATATACAAGACAACTTGGTGAGACCCTTCCTCTGTGAGCCAGCAGGCCTTGCTGCCCTATTAGTGCCAACTCGAACTTGTTCCTTCTAAACAGCACACTGGAATCTAGATCCTCCTCTTTGGAAGATTAGTTGAACACTTGCTGGAGGAAAAAGTCTCAGTTGTTACATGTACAAACCCCAAAATTTTGCTACAAAGTCCACAGCCTTCCCAGTGTTTTGTTTATAATATCACAAAGCAACTCGAACAATTGCCTTCCAGCTCTGATGAATAATCTGAAACAAATGCAGTGATTTATAAACATTTTTTTCTGCTCCTGGGAGCAAATGCTGGTGACTTACCACTTCCGTAAAGAGCCAGCTGAATTTACCACCAAGCCCTAAATACATATGCTGGAATAAAAGCTATTACAATTTAAACTCCTTAAAAAGTTTTACTATGAGGAATTTCTTCTAATTTTGTTGCACTTGCCTCATAATTATTTTAATATGCATTTATGAAGAGAAGGAGTTGAAGAAAGGGAACAGCTGGGATGCAGGACTACTGTATCTCTATCTCCATACTACATGCCTTCCAATAAATCTTGGCCTAGTGGTGCACGATTAACATTTTCTCTTTTCAGACCTCAATCGTACTAGGGTCAGGATTTTTGGAGGACTTTGCATTACTGCTGTCTTAAAAGGAAGTATTGCTTATTATCCACCATACCAAGCAATCTATTGGACACGCTGCCTGGAAAATATATACTGAATTATTTACTTGGTAAGCCTTCATTCCAATAAAGTCACTTTATGATCAACCTATTACTAACCCTGTTTAGGGAATGATGTAAATAAACGTCTTCTGAAGTTAAGAGACAGAACTCCATTGACTCCAGTGACCTCAAGCTTTGGTAGATCTGGCAGAATATTTCTTTCATGTACCTGAATTTTTTCAAAGCTCACAGATGAAATAGCTGCCAAAGAGGCTTTTTCTTTCTTTCATCATTTGTGCAACCCTCATTCAATGCAGCTCAAGTTACCCAGCTGAATGTGTAAACATCAGTAAGGCAGCATATGTGAGATTGCATTTTGGACCAGATTTTCAAGAGATTAAGTTCCACATAAACACCAAAATAAGTAGCCAGGTTTTCAATAAAGCTCCTCTGGCTCCAGTTTTGGAGGCCTGACACGTCAAACTGGGCTGTTGACTGTTCTGAAAAACAGGGTGGATCCTGAGAAGCTTTAATTGTGGCAAATCTGTGTGACAGCTTACACCTGCTGGAGACCTGCACCCCAGGGCCTAACTCTAGAAACAGGAAAAAAGTCACTTCTGTAAAATCACCTCACTCAAACATCTCCTCTAAACCCCGACTAAACCCACTTTAAAAACTTACATTTATTGAGCACAAGTAAAATCACCTCACTCAAACATCTCCTCTAAACCCCGACTAAACCCACTTTAAAAACTTAAATTTATTGAGCACAAATACAAAGCTTGCTTTCTTTATTAGTCTACTATTTACAAAAAGGATTTTTTTTTTTTTTTTAACAAAGAAACATGAAATACAAAGCTTGCTTTCTTTATTAGTCTAATATTTACAAAAAGGAATATATATTTATTTTTTTTAACAAAGAAACATATTTTCTTTGGCAACCTTTTGCACAAAATCAGCCACTGGCCATTTTATCCAGGATCAGGGTTGTCTCCCTGAGGATGGCAGCCCCAAGGCAGCAGGTGCAGGCCTCCCTTCCTTCAAACTGGTGTACTGAAACTCAAATCCATTTCCTAGGCTCCTTATCTGGCAACAAGTCTCTCATCCTCACCATCTGACGATGTGCTGATTCCTAGAGTACATTATCCACTGCTTATGGGACGGCTGAGCATCAAAATCCTACTGATGATCCCAGGGTGGAGCTAGAGCAATGTTTCAGAAAACCTACACAATCCAAACTCACAAAAAGATGGAAATAGGCTCTCACCTGAGCTGAGCTCAGATGGTTATCCCACACAGCTGCTCCAACCCTCATCCTCAAAAAGAGGAGAAAAACCAGGAGCAAGTGAATATATGTCCTTAAGCCATTCTCTGTGACACTCATCACAAAGAATTGTCCTGTGATTGCATCTACCAAATACAATCCCTGATGGAAGCACCTAGAAATAACTCAGTTTCCACAGCCCTTAACTACTCCTTACCAGCACAAATAAATAGCTAAGATAAAAATCAGCAAAAGAGGTAGAATCTAGACCAGAGCAACAAACCTAAAATTCCAGGGTGATGAGGACCTTGACTTCAAATGGGCCAGTCATCATCAAGGACAACAAGGAATAGGGGAAGAGCCAACTCAGGGAGAGGCTGGGAAGGGAGAAGTATCTTTCAGAAGAGAAGGAGAGATAATGGATACACATATACATACACACATGTATAGATATATCTATATATTAGCAGCATTATGCAAATTAATGCATATCTGAATTTGCATAAGACCTCTAGCCTTTTGGCCCACTGCCTTCACATAATCAAACTTGAGTTCTCTATCTTGGTAAGATGAGATCCTCTAGAGAGCGGTAGTGTGGAACGGTATCAAAGGGTACGAAACATTACAGTTGATAAAGATGGATGCTTTATTTATTAAATAAACAAATGCTTTTGGTTTCTCATTTAATTTATCTGATTAACTTTTCAAACTAGCTCCACTGGTATTTCACCCTGATCTGGCTCAGAGTTTCCCGCAGTATCTGGCCTAAAGAAGCTATTCTGATCAAGCATCCTGTTCGGACACCATCGAGGGAGAAAGGTCTGCTAAGGGTACCTGAAACCAAAACCACAAGCAGGAAGATACAAAAGTGGAAACACTACACAGAGTCAACATCAAGAACAGCATGTCCACTGTCCACCTCCTCCCATGATCTTCTTTTCCTTCCGTCTGACATTTTCCTTTCATGTCAGCATTTTCATAAGCACTTAAGACCCTCAGAAATCTGAGTCTCATCTTCAAAGTTTCCAAAGCATTTGGGAGCTGCAGTACAATTAATTTACTACAGCATTAAGATTCTTTGGAGACTTCTAAAAAGAGGACTTTGACTCATGATCCAGAGAGCTGATCCTGCTAGTTTATGTCTAAGCTACTCTATGGAACTTTCGGAAGACTTACCTAAGATGCCTATTTTATCAGTGCAGAACATCATGATGGAGAGCTGTACTACTACCAGCAATAGTGCAGACTTTCCTCAAATGTTAGTAACAAAGCGCCATTGAGGATATCCTGTATTTGTAAGAGAAACGATTAACCAGAAACTCAGAAAATATGAGCACCTGATTTTGAAATTCAAAAATCATTATATTCTGAATATTTCTAGTCAGAAAGTCTCATAAAAAAAATAATAATCGCATTTCTGGATTTACTATAGTTATTCTTATACCAAAAGAACATCTATCCCAGCATTCTCTCTTTCACAGTGTAGCTGATACTCAGAAGACGACAGCAGGGTTA